TGTGTGTGTGTGTGTGTGTGTGTGTGAGAGAGAGAGTGTGTGTGTGTGTGTGTATACTTGCAGAAATGATTGTGATACTCACAATGCAACATCAAAAACATGTGGCTTGTTCCCAGCTTTTAGGAAATAATCTTAGGGGCCGTTCACACAGAAAGCGCCTTTGTGCCTAAAAACGTGAGACGCGGTGCTCAGGAATGGTTTTTAAAAAGCCCAGCACAAATTGCAGAAATGATTGTGATACTCACAATGCAACATCAAAAACATGTGGCTTGTTCCCAGCTTTTAGGAAATAATCTTAGGGGCCGTTCACACAGAAAGCGCCTTTGTGCCTAAAAACATGAGACGCGGTGCTCAGGAATGGTTTTTAAAAAGCCCAGCACAAAACGCCTCCTCTGTCATGTTAGCATCAAATAAAACAGTTGCCATTCCAACCTGCTATACTGTAAACAAAAGCCTGCAGCGCTAGCTCCGCCTCCGGGGTCTTCTGATTGGTCCACTGTTCTGGAACTGACATGGATGAGCGGCGCTGTGTGTAAAAATTTAATACATGGCGTCTTTAATGCTCACGTGTTAGACGCTGCAAAAGCCGTGAGATGTGAGCGCAAAGGTCAAACACGTCCGTCTAGCGTTGGCATAGAAAAACAGTGGAGAAGTAGCACATTGGAACGGAAAAACGCATTGTGTGTGAACAGCCCCTCAGAACGTTCCAGCAAGGTTCTCTCAATGTTCTGAACAAACGTTTTTCCAGTTAGGTTAATCTAGAAGTTATCTAATCTTTAACAACCTTCTCAAAGCGTTAGCACGAAATATTTCAGCGGAATGTTCGTTTTTAATGTTACTACTCACTTCAAAGAATGCTCAAAAGTGACGTTCCCATAATGTTTGTGAAATTAGTATTGTTAGTATTAATTAGTACAATTAGCATGGCCCCGCCCCTAACACTATAATAACTAGAGTTTAGCATCAGAGGTCGTTACCGTTAGTTATTACAGCTTACAGTTTGCAAGCTATGCCTTCATCACACAAATGCATATTACCTAGTAGCGATAATTAACAAAACAGCTCTCCTTATTTAAATGCATTTGTATTTGATAGGCAGCTTTCCAGCGAGTGGGCGTGGTTTCGGCGCCGGCGGACACGCCCCCAGCGTCTGCTTATTCTTTCAAGATTTTGATACCTTCCTTTATTTACTTGGTGGTTTTTAATAATTAAAATTTGGCTGGGTAGTTAAAAACCCAGAACGCGTTTAACATTGCTTTAGAGTACAAAAAATATGTTTTTGTTAGCCGGTTTAGTCCTGTATTGTTTTTCATAGCTGTACACAACATGTTCCTCTATTCTATTCTATTCTATTCTATTCTATTCTATTCTTCAGCTGTTTCTCTGTGCTATCCGTCTAATCAGTGTTGAATTTAAGCACAACAGAGCAGGTTTTGGACGATAACACACTGATTATTTATAATGACAGTAATCTGTGTGGAACAGCCTTCAAAACAAACACAGACACAGAGAGGAGGAGGATGAAGATGATGAAGATGAGGGTGGTGTTTCCACACGTTTGTGGCTCTATAACTATCAGCATCTCTCTTTTCCTCTATGCCTCCATCTCTAGCATTATATTATCATATATTACCTGCATTATAATATTAGCCTAACAGGCCTGTTTAAACCTATACTCTTATTATAAGAATGCTTTAATATTATTAATATCAAACAGTTCTCTCGTTCTGCCAGAGCTGCCTTTAAATGCATGACATTAGAACACAAAAATAAATAAATAAATTACAAAACCGACAAATAAACCCAAAATATTACATATCATACATATTACACGTTGCATACGTATTTCAGACGGACGAGGTTAAAACAGACTCAGATGAGCGCATATTGTGTGATATTAATTATGAAACGCTGACGTACCGTAAGCGAAGGTATCTGATGTGTTTGCTGTTGTGCTCCGCCACGCCCACTCTTTGATTGACAGACGAGAGGACCAATGAGAGGCTGGGGAAAAACTGGCAGTAAAAAGTGACAACTAGCCACAAACATTAGTAAGTTTTGTTGTTAATGTTACAAATGTAGCGTCTTTTAAATAGAACACGTGAGAATTGCATGTTTGAGGTTTTTATTATCAATAAGTCTAGTCACTGGCATACTCCTCTGTTCATAAAACAGAGTGTTTGCACCACATATCGATCAGCATTGATCACATTTAAATGAATGTACAGCTAGTAAACAATCCCATGAGAGGAAAACATCTGATGGACATCAAGAATAAAAATCAGAATGATGGATTAAACACAAACAAATATTCGTTACAGTAATTAAACCATGGAAAAGCAACAACTTGAAAAGAAATAGTTTTTCGATATCAGCCTTCTGTGAAATTGGCACTGGTGTGAAATATTGTGCATTAAGAGGGTCCGACATCTGTTAATCATATTAATAAATATTGATCACTTATATCAACACAGCATCTGTTTTAGTTGTTTTCAGCTGCTTACACACATTTTCAAATCTAAGAACTGCAGACACAAAATACTAAATGCCTCACATCTCTTGCAAAATGAAGCAAAAGCAAACATTTGCAAACACCTTTGCCATAAGATAGATTTGTGTGTGTCGCATAGAGAACTGAGTGTTGTGTTTCACAAGAAGTCAAAGGCGGAGTAGTTTTAGTGTAGACAGTGTGTGAGAAGTAAAGATTGTGTGTGTGAGCAGCTGAATAAATCTGTAATATCAACACAACAGTAATGAAAGTGTCCGTGAAAACCATTGGACGGCTTTGGTCATGTATAATACAGGTAATATTTTTAAGATATTACCATGGTAATACAATTCTATTATAATTTAATGTGCGTTTTAAAATGCACCATGCCTATATTTTAGACATTTTACCATGGTAATACGTTTTTGACACTAATAGCATAGTATGTTTGAAGTACCACGTCAGGAATATAGTAATATTTCAGTACCATGGTAAACTATCAAGCGAAGGTTTGGACACCGACTCGATGTGTAAAGTAAGTTGTGACACATTTGAGTTAAAAAAGTAGGGTGGGACTTGGTTCTATGCATCATTTGTTGATTGGATGTTGAGATGTGGGCGTGGCACTTTAAAAAGTCCTGCATAAAGGTTTGTTAAACGTTACAACGTCAAAACTTTTTAAGAATGAAACATATGCACGGATGATTTGCTATAACATGCATTTAGAAAACATGGTGAAATTCTATTTCATGCCGACTTTAGCTATGAAATAACTCAAATGTGAAAACACAAAAACTACATCACTCATTATGTGATGATTTTTATGCAGAAAATTCCACCAATCAGAGAGCCGCCACAAAAAACCTCATTAGCTCCGCCCACTCAGTGAAACTCCACGAATGATGGAAGTCGCCCTCAAAATATGCATATTTCATGCATATATGTGCACATTTTTCAGTAAACCTACAATATACAGTTTCTATAAGCATAATCAACAACTTTAAATGAATAGTTTTATATTTCACGATCGTTTTTATTTAATTCGATTATTCTTCGCAATGCCTCACGGGACTGTAGTTCTTTCCCTCATTTGAGAAGCCGTTTTCCACAGCCTTGTCCGATTTATAAATGCTTTTTTGCTTAAAATTAAAAGTGTGCAATGCTGTGATTCTCCTCGAAGCTGGTTGGTTTGGTTCATGACTTATAATGCTTTAACAGAGACGTTTTACAAACCCCTATGGGAAAAATACATCTGGAAGCAAAACTAGCTAGTATTTGAGGATGCTTATAAACACGTATAAATGTGTATCATCAGCAGGTTTCCATCACTATCTGCTCTAAAATTAACTTGATGTTCAAACCTCTGGTCGTGTATTTTTGCTGATATGTGTTCTGAATCGAATCTTCAAACATCCACCATTTGGCCAATAACTGAAGAGTTTCTCAAAGGAACCACAAAGAGTTAAAAAGCAAGAAGTTCTGAGCAGATTCTGATCGCTCGACACTCATATTCCTGAAAATACAGTTTCTAAACTTCTGAGGAGCCACAGAACTCAAAATACTGATGTGTGTGTGTGTGTGTGTGTGTGTGTGGTCTTGGCACTCTTGCGGCGAAGTCTAAAAATGCCCTGTAGCCAAAGCGCCAGTGTGTGTCAGGTAATCCTAAACCACAGCTGAACACACACTCTCTCTCTCACACTCAGACACACTCTCACTCTCACACACACACACACACACCCACACACACACACACACACTCACTCACTCACACACACACACACACACACACACACACTCACTCTCTCACTCACCCACACACTCACAGACAAAGACACAGACTCACACACACACACACACACACACACACACTCACTCTCTCACTCACACACACACACACACACACACACTCACAGACAAAGACACAGACTCACACACACACTCACACTCACTCACACACACACTCACTCTCTCACTCTCTCACTCACACACACACTCACACACACACTCACACACACACACACACACACACACACACACACTCACTCACACTCTCACTCTCTCTCTCTCTCACTCACACACACACACACAAACACACACCCCCACACACACATGAGAGAACAGCAACCACAACAACTCTCACCATAATGAAATCAAACAGACATGTGTCTCAGGCCAGACGAGCTGAACGTACCGCGGCAGCCGTGTGCTGATTGGTGGAGGTGTTGGCGGCTCCCTGGTTGTGTTTGGGGCTGCAGTAGCCGCTGTCGCTGTCGATGTCGGCCTCGCTGGCTCCCTGCTCGCTGGACGACTCCTGCTGAGACGTGCATCTGCGCTGAGCTTTCTTCCACTGCTGAGGACTCGCCTGATCCGACGCACATCTGACACTGCCAGACGCCTCGCCGGGGAAATCTGAAACCACACGCGGAGCAGTGTGCTCAGGGGTCAGTAGTTCAGGACTAAAGGTCAAAGGTCAGCTCAGTACCTGTCTGCTGTGCCGCATCCACCAGCAGCACTGTCTTGGATCTCCCATCAGGCCCGGCGGCACACACCTCCTTCTGTACCGCCACACTCCGCATCACGAGACGCTTGGCTCTCACCGGCTGCTGTGAGTGACGCAAGTGAGCGTTAGTTTACACTAGTGAGCAGTGAGTGTGTGGGTTCAGGTGTCATCTCGTACCTTGTGTGGGACGGGGTTTCGTGAGACGCCTCTTCCTCTCTGCGTCTGGCTCTGTGGCAGCGGCCGCTCGCTGCAGTCAGACACGGGGTTCAGAACGCCGGCCTGCAGGGGCCCCGCATACGGCCCCGGGAAGGGCTGGTAGAAGCCCATGACAGGAGGGCAGGGTGTGGGCATGATGGTGTGGTAGTATGTGGGGTAATCACTGGTGACGGGGGGCTGCGGGGATGACAGGAACGGGTACGCCAGGTACGGCCCGCCGGGGCTCGGGTTGAGCTGCTGCCAGCGGTGATCTCCGTTATACACAGGCATCTGCCGACTGAACCACAGACACAATCTCAGATTATAAAGGGAACACGTGTCTAACAGCACTTCAGAGGCTTCTGGGTAGGACTATCAAGACAAATGTGTTTGGGGCGGGACTGTGTGCTGGTCTGACCAATGGCAGACAGGAAAAACTGTTTGAAAACTGTCCGTTTTTTCCATTTCCACACTGTGATTCAGCTGTGACACACACACAGACACACTCTCTCACACACACACACACACACACACACACACAC